CCTTTTTGTTCGCTTCGTAATTGACACCGAGATTTTCCTTTGAAACATCGAGGATTTGCTGACTTCCCGATAACTAGTGGTTTAATTCTGTACCAGTTGCATTTGTACAAAGTAGTTACAGTAATTCATTCCTTATCCTTCTTTTTTCCTTTTACTGGCTTGGTTGCGAGTGTCTGATTGGGTGTCATTCGGAAAAAAAGACCAGTTTCGTCAGTATTATAAACATTCCTGGTACTGCGAAAGTAGTTCGATTAATTGCTGTCTTTGTTCAGGAAGGTCTTCAACTAGCACACTTTTGATTCTCCATGAATTTTAAAACGACGAATATCATGTCGTTTTTTGAACCTATCAATCCAACCTTGAACTCGCTCTCTGGAATATTTAGAAGTTCAGCAAATGTTTTGCTTGCAGTTGTAAGAGTCTATCAGTTGATACAATGTTTCGAGAAAAAACCCTACGCGTCCAGATGCTTAAAGCATCTTCCAAGTTCGTAAACTTTACTGGTCTGCTAGCCTTTGTTTTTGCTTCGTAACTCGTAAGGAACTTTTATTCACAACGAAAAAATACACGTAACAAAGTCATGGCAAAAAAAAGAGGTATGGGGCTATATATACAACGATCACCCGATTAACCTGATTCTGATTTATAACGTAACCGTGATATTTATAATAATAATATAATATACATATTATTATCCAGCCGATGTGAAATTTAAGTAGTGACCAAATTTCTGAAATAAAATCACATGCTTGAAAAATCACATGCTATCACAGAACTTTTTATGCCATGTGTTGGGTACCTGATTGCAGAATGCTATTAATTATTCACTAAATATATTAATATATTCTCAAAGTACGTTAATCCAAAATAAGCTTCTCAAGATTCTTGCCCAGGTTAGTTATTAATTTTTTAAAATAAGTTTTATTATAAATCGAATGATTAAGGCGCAAATATTGGTTCATCTCTGAGAAAGTGAGCATAACAGTTTAGACATCCTATTAGCCCGCAAGTAGGGGATATCATCCTTGGACGCGTGGAGGGTGTTAATCTGTAATCATACGCGAACTTTAATGTTATTTACTATGATACCAAGCAAAGTCTATTTTGCGTATTGGCCATATGTAATAGTAACTTTGAAACCATCTGACGACGCGCGCGATTTTTAAATATTTATTTCCGGAAAGATCATGATCTAAATTAAAATTTTTCTGCGCCAGTACGATGATGCTTTTTAAGGAGTGTGTGTAGTTTACGAGATATTGGAGTAGTAAAAACGGTATGTTATTCGGTGTATATTAATATTTAAAAAACGTGTTGTATTATACTAACTTTCTCATATAAAGAATAAAGAAAAACCTCTCAGTTCCGAACAGATTGAGAAAAACATATCAGAGTTGAAGTCGAAACTTATGGTAAGTATTAATTGTTTATTAAGCGATAAATACTATCTCTAACTCTAAATATAATTCATCAGCAAAATTCATCACCGCTTTATGAAGAATTATTTAACTCTTTGGGGGATGTAGTTGTTTCTGATTTGTCATGGAAAGATTCTATCGCTAGGTTATTAGCGATGACTCAGAGTTAAGAAATTGCCGAAAAAATTAAAAAGGGTCTTTATGGAAGTAATGATGTCACTATTACACCTTTACGTAGAATAATATCTTAACTTATTTATAGGAACCAGCTCGTAAGAGGGTACCTAACCCCTTACTAATACTGCATGTAGTGTCAATATGTAATAGAAAGGCATATTAATATTAATACAATTGTTGCGTAATTTTTCTATTCAGCATGTGGGATATGATATGTAAATTCAATGTTAGACAAGACGTTAGCGCTGCAATGATTAGAATCGAATATAAACCGGCCTTTGATATGTTTCTCAACCGTTGAATCGCCTCATGTAACTTCTCTCAAAGGACCACGGTCAAATCAGTGCAACACAAATTCCGCGCGGTTGCTCAAGTCACGTTACAAGTCGTATACGTTGCGAGCTTAACACTTGGCTAATCTCGATCATCACCACTTCGTTCGTCTTCACTATTGACGATGGACGGTGGTAGATAAGCGCCACTGGCGTTAACAGTAACGCCAGGATACGTTGATGAACCAAGTAGCCTATGCCTATTCGAACATTTTTCTTAGGTTGTTGCTACTTATTCTCGGATGGCGTTTAGTATTAAATATAAGAAGACGCACGCGAAGGAGGACCTGAAGGAGCCGAATTCAATGGAGAATGTGAATTATAAAGACACATATAGCAACGTGTATAGAGCAATCGAATATCAATGGCATCTTGCCTTAGTCGCTATTTCATAGTAAGCGCATGCTGCATCATGACATTCATATATACATAAAAAGTTGGACAACGTTCGACCAGAGAAAGTGTTATTAATATACTCATAAATGTAAGAACACGGGTACCAAAAATCGCCTTCTCTATCGCATGCAAGTGGAGGGGTCATAGAAGGCTCGAGAATGAATGACTAGTGTGTTATGGGATGGCGAAGCTTGTAGTGAATGTGATATTAACCGAAGATAGTGTGTGAAAGATAAAGAGGCGCAGTAATATCATTTTGCAAACCGTTTACATATCCTTTTCGTGTATTTTGTAGAGATGTGCAAGTCCGTCTTCAGCAAATGAAGCCGTGGCATACGTAGAACTTGTCTCGACACTGTCGGTGGCAATTGAAGTGTGTGATAACGTCGATGGAGGCGACGTTACTGAATATGCTACAGCTCTTATAGTGACATCAGACAACAAAGAACTATAGTAGAAGACGGAGGCAATGTCAACTTTTTATTACATTGGTCAATCATATTTTATATGACAGCTATTGAAACTTTATCGTGCCAACACCCCTCATCAACCTCTCCGCTTCGATTTCTTTGCATGGTTCGACACAATTGTACTCAGCGATTATAAACCCGTCGATCCAGCTTACGATGTGACTCGTCAGACATGGGCTGACCAGACTTCGGAAAAGAGGATGGATATGAAGGGGAATGATGAACGGGATACAGACAAGGACAATGTGATGAGACAATGTGATGAGGACGACAGGACAGAGTTAGGACGATCGAGCTCTAATGGCAACCGTGAAGGACAAGGGAGCAGATATGAAAACGTAGGTGAAAAGAGGATGTGATAGGTGATTGTACAGTCTAACATTGAGACTGGTAGTATGTCAAAGAATTGACTTCACTAACGCTGGCTATCTAACGTTTTTGGTTTACCAATTCAAATAACAGAGACAGTATACGTCGGGAAAATATCTCCCGACATGCCTGGACATTTGCTGGAGCAAAAGGAGATCTTTCATTACAAGGGTTCCATGACATGATAGGGGCGGCTATTATTCGGACATCATAATGACGGATTTATGACATTTGAAACGGTAGTGGATCAATCAAACGCGCGCATCAAATGTGACAGTCAGGACGAGTGACTTTCGGTATCAGCAGGAAGGCAGAAAGAGATTACGATAAATACACATGCTTATATAGGTACCACTTCCTATACGCAAATTTGATACTCAACTATCATATAAAGTAGAGGAATACGAGATGATGCACCCGAGAAAGTCAGTTTCATGTGCCTTACTATTACTAAATGCAAATGAATAAAATATGTGACGTCAACGCAACACACTTTATTAGCGCTGCTCCCTAATCAATACAAAAGATAATTGGAAAAGGCGTGGAGTCTATATTAGGGAATTTATAATAATGTTTTATACATATTAATATTGTATGTTTGTTTGTTCATCCTGGGTGCTGTTAATAATGAGTATCGCGAGGAACTTTTATTCACAACAAGGTGCTCGCTAAAGCCCAGTTTAAGCTGTTTTTATCTTTTACATAGTAAATTAAGAGAATAAAAGCCTAGAAACAGGTGGATTGCTTGTTATTATGAAGGGGGGGTGTATCTATCTATTGCTGTTTTAATGAGTGAATATATTTTTTGTGTAGAGATCCAGGGGGTATTTGGATCTGTATGTAGGTCTAGAGAGCATATTGTTAGTAGTCGATTAAGGGATAGTTGGGTGATGTCTGAGTGAGAGGGGGTGGGATTGCGTCCAAAAGCCCTTGTGGTAAAGGCATTCCAAAGAGTGGATATCGTTGCTGATTGTATGGAACGGAGAAGACGGAGCTGTTGTTCAGAGAAGTCAGGGTGTGGGATGTATGGTGGGGGTTGTATTTTGGCTCCACTTGCAAAGATCATGTGGGCAGTATCCCACAGTGATTGTGCTATGTGGCATTGGTGGAGGAGATGTAGGGTGCTGTGTTCTTCATTAGGGCACCATGGGCAGTTGGTTTTGTCTGGTGCTATGGTTGCTACAGGGCGTCCCAATGGGAGTCTCTCCCATGTAGCCATCCATAGAATGTGTCAGATCCGACGGATATCGATAATAATCTTCCGTGATTTCCGCTCTGTGGTACGAACGATCTACAATGGCTGC